AGTTGAATACTAAAAGTCTAAGTCGAAAATGAATTCATTTTATGTTATCATGATAACATAAAATGAATACAATATTCAATGCATTAAGAACTGTGTGAAAACAAAACTAAAAAATCATTTGTGCAAACACATGTGTAATAAATATGAAATGTGAGTAGCCTATTATAATCAAATGTTTTATTAAATTATGATTTATATAATGACATTAATAATGATTTTTTCAGGCTAAAAAATCATACAGATTTCCATTTATATGGCATTAATTTTCATATACTGTAGGTGATATAAAAAAAAAAGTCTTAAATTCAACTGGGAGAATCCTGGGGGTACCCTGCCACATAATTTTGCCCCTTTCTCCTCTGCCTCTTTTTATTTGATTGCTTTGCCATCCTGCTGTCTTCTTAACACTAATTAAGATGGACTGGGTAATGTTGAAATGTAGAATATGATGGTATCTAATCACAAAACAATTTAGTTGTGATCAAATGATAGCTATGTAACTATGCTTTAAATGAACGTGCAGGGCCCGTCTCAACAAAGATGGTAGCTCTGGCTTTGCCATTGTTAATTATAAACAGAGCACGACAACTTTCACTTTGAAGAGGATGCTCTGCCATTGTGGTCCTCGGCACTGGGAGCGCCCTCTGCTGTCCATAAGGTGCCTCTGCGCACCAGCAATTTCAAACCCAGCCTCCAGTATTTGGGCCACGCCTCCTTATTTGCATACACTCAATCTGAAACACCAAATTCCCAGTCTTAAATACCTAAATGCCCAATCCTAAATGGCTAAATGACCAAATGCCAAACCCTAAATAAAAAATGCCCTATCCTAAATACCAAATTCATTTTGACCCCTCCATATTTACAAGCCATATGATGCTTGTAAGGATTTATTTATTTACACTTGATGCTTGTAAGGATTTATTTACACTTAAACAGATACAGAGTTGTGCCATGTAGAAGCCAAGAGTTACCACCAAGAGTTACCACCAGTTACCTATTGTGAGATACACAAAAACATAGAGATTGTGTGATATTGCTGGAGTAACTTACTGATTCAGTGGTTTGAATTTTATTTCAGAACTGTAAGCACCATAAACAGTTGCATGTGCATTTGTTTGTGTTGGACTTTTCAATATCCCTACAGCATGCAGTTTATGTGGCAGCGATGATTGCAGTTGCAACGGTTGCGGATGTCAAATCTCCATGCAAATCTCTCACCACATCTCTACAAGAAATTGAGGCTACAACAAAAAGACATTTAAACAAGCCTTGGATATGAGTGGTGTTAAGTAAAAAATTCAGAGGATAGCATAGTGCGAGCCAACTGCCATTTTACCCAAACCTAATTTGATTGTGTTCAATCTGCATATGCAAGAGTTTACTTAATATTCTTGTGTTGGATTATATAATTGATTTGTTGAATTAACTGAAACTGGTGGTGCTTGTTAGTTCCCAGCATTCTTTGCATATGGTTGAATTAAGAAAGAATAAATGTTAAAATGAAGTGTTATTTTATGTTTTGAGAAAATAAGAAAAGGGGAAGACTTGTGTGTATAATTGTTTAATGTTCAATTACATTGGAATTATTAGAACCATTTAAATTACAGTGGGTTACCATTGTGGAGAAGAGTGGAGCACTTTGTTTGTGTGTGGGCTGATTAAATAATTTCAGATGTTATGAGCATGTTAATCTATGAATTTTAGATGGTAATATGTGCTGCTGCTAGCAAATAGTTTGATAGTCTATAAATTTAATATGTTTTACTAAAATAAATGAAATATTAATGGATTAATGAATATACAAAATACCTGAATCATGTCAGGAAGCCTTTAAAAAATCACTTTGAAACTACTTTGATAAGGTCACTTAAAATGACTTAATTCCATGATGTTAGAGTTACATGAACAAATTATGTTTGTTTAACGTAACCCAGTTATGTGGAACCTGTTGACGAAAAAAAACATCTTTTTTTTTTAGTGTAATCACTCTGTCGTACTAATCCATTTTATTATTATTTTCTGCTCCTTGCCCTGTTTTCACAATGCAGACCAGTTAAACATGTATCTTAAATGCAAGTTTCGTTTTCAGATTAATCTCTGTCTAATGGAGCAAGGTGTTCATGTTAAATCTTAATGGGTTAGTTCACCCAAAAGAGATAAGAGCATCATTTGCTCGCCCAAAAGCTAATTTTTTTCCCAAACCTGCTTGACTTTCAACAATGGCTCTGAGTCACCATTCTCTGCATGGAAAAAAGACACAATAACATTAAATTGAATATTCTTAAAGAACAGTGGAAACTGATTTTCTTAAAGATTTAAAGTTAAATATAATTAAACGACAAAAATATTAAAGCAGATATGAGATAGGTTGCTCCTGATGTTACACATAAGACAAAAACACTTCTGTTACTATATATATCAATGATTTTTTTTTTAAAAAAGTTCTATTCAGCATGTTTTGTTACACACACATCATGTAAATGTAAATCACAATGAAAAAAATACGTAATAGAAAAAAACTGACGTAATAGAAACTATATACACATGCAGTTTTAAATGTTAAAGTGATCAAGTAGCCTATTTAGTTTCTCTTTCATTTATTTTATGTAATGTTTGAATAATAAAATGATCCAAAATATACAGTATACATTTACATAAGCAGTTTAATTTCTTTTCTCATAATAAAATACAGAGCATGGGAGAGAATGTCAGTTGATTATTTAGAGACATTTGTCTTCACACAGCAATTAAACTAAGCCCAGTTTATCTGGATTTGTGACAAATACAAAAAAAGGTGTTGGTGAAAGTCAAAATTGACAGTATTATAAACTAATTGTGACATAAGGAACAGCATGTGGCAGTTGTGAATTTTAGTCATTGTAAAACTGTATCAGAGGGCAGGTGACTCAGTGAGTGCTGCAACTAGTGCTTTACAAATTCAAGCAATCCATTTTATAATGATACATATTCATCAAGAAACCCAGAAAAAACATGCAAAAAAATATTCTACTTGTATGTTACTTGCTTTTCAGATTGTCTAAATGGGGCCTAAGACTTTTGCCTCAATAAGCTCCTTAGTAACATAGTTATTTACTGTAGTATTGTAACACTAAAACGGCCATGATGATCATTTTGACCGTTTTGAATTTTAGATCTGCAATAACTTTGTTGAAAAAATAAAATCCTGCTGGTACCTGACTTTTCCTAAAAGTGTCTTATGTTCATTTAGAAATTACACATAAGGCAGAAAAACTAATGAACATATTTACCGGCCAAAGACGTCATATTGACCGCATTGAATTTCACGGTATTCTTTTGTTACATTTCCCTTGGTTGACCTTAGTTTCTCTCACTGTCAACAGAATATCTAAATAAGATACTTTTAGGTGTTATTATCTTGTTCTGGGTTATATTGAATGGATTTGGAAATATAGGCCTAGCTGTTGTGAACATGCGACAATGGTATACTAATGATATTATTATTTATAAATGTATAATCAAACTTGTTTAAATGTACAGTTTGGTGTTGTTTTGTTTTTAAAGATTTTCTAATAAGAAATGCATTAATTTCTCAATAGGGTATTTATCATTAATATATAGAGTTTGGAATCTAGCGGTCAAAATTACCACTTGTGGCAAAACATAAACCGTAAATTTTACGGTAAAAAAACGGCAGCTGTGGTTGCCAGAACTTTACCGTTAAAAATACGGTAGAAACGTTAATGGTTTAACAGACATTTACGTTAATGAACGTAACGTTAATAAAATTTACAGTAATAAACCGTATTTTATTTTCTGATAAAATGTTGATTTACCAACTTATTGCTATCTGTTTTAGACCATTGTAATACACTGACAATCGTCAATCATCACAGCAGTGATGAGAGTTACTTGAGCAATCACAGCTCATCATAAGTGATTACTTATTTAATTAATACTTATATAAAGAAGCTGCACAGTGTCATTCACACAAACATTAAACACCATCATGGTAACACACATGAAATTAAAAAATGCAATAAACATTAATTTAACAACATTAAATGTAACATAAAACCCTAATGTACATAACTGATTAGAAAAAAACAATAAAACTATGAGGAACTATAGTTATTTCAACAAAAATACATCAAATGTGAAGTGTCACACAGGGAATTGTGGAAATGTCAATTTACGGTTTTTCACTGTATATTATACAACGATTTGTTCTTTTTCACTTTCAAAAACTGTAAATTTAACTGTATTTAACTGTATTTTATATCACAGTTATTTACCGTATAAAGTACGGAAACTTTCTGTTAACCAATTAACAGTTTTGCACTGTAGCATTTTTACAGTCTTTTACTGTTAAAATCATGGATATTTTTTACAGTGCAGTTCAAGAAGTTATGAATTCATGCACTCATTCATAAGTTTTAAGGGAGATAGAATGTGGTTATGTAGAATAAGGCATTAATGTGTTTGCTTTATAATAACTAATACTAAAATATCCCAGTAATATACATGCTATATTTGTTCCAGCGGCAATTACGATTTTAAACAATATGAGTATGCTAAGTGAGATGTTTTAGTATCCGATAGTTAATTTAGTCAGAGGATACGTATGTGTAGCCTATGGTGCTGCTGTGTGTCATGATGTTTTACTTATGTTTTACTTGTAAAATTGTATGTGAAATGTTTGGTCTAATGTTCGTTTTGGGATGTCCGAACTCTTTTCTTTTATCTGCCAAACAAATTTACCTGCAGCCAGGTACGAAATAAATGAAGAGTTCAGATGCAAAAGCCTCTAAATGCCATTTGAAATTTTCTTCTTTAATGATGATTTTTATCAAACTTGTATATTTAAGTTCAGTAATTTCACTTAAATGGCAATGATAATTACCTATTAATTGTTATTTAAGTGAAATTACTGAACTTAAATATACAAGCTTGATAAAAATGGTCATTTTAGAAGAAAATGTCAAATGGCATTTAGAGGCTTTTGCATCTGAACTCTTCAAATATACCTTTACCTTGAATTAGGAACTAGTGAGACTTGGACATTAAATTAAAGTATCACCATATATATTTGTATATCTGGTAGATTCCAGTAATATTCTGTGTTTGCAAGTTTGTTTATATATATTTGATTTAATTTATTATATTGATATATATAGATATATTTTACATTATTATTATTGTCTGGATATACTGTAGGCTATTAGAGTGACTAATTATTCTAAGTTGGAACAAAAGGCATCAAGTGATTAAATAGCATGAACACCCTGCCCAAATAAGACAGAAATGAACAAAACTCTTCTTAATCTCTGAAATAAAATGTATTTATCTTTTAAGATGTTTAGTTCTAGAATACATGTTTAACAGGTCTGCATTGTGAAAACAGGGCGAGGAGCAAAAAATAATTATAAAAACAGATTAGTGGGACATTAAAGTGATTAAACAAGTGACAAGCAGAGACTCACGAAGTGAATATAAAAAGGGTTTGTGAGAGGCAAAGAGAACCAGATCCACCATCTCCATCCATTCTGCAAGACACGAGACGGTTTGAAAAGATGTGGAGGTTGACGTGTGTCAGTTTGGCCCTGCTCTTATCTGTTCAAGGTAAGGACTAATGTATTTTATCAGCATTACACATTTCTTTTGTGAGATCATTTAATTCAGTTAATTTAGTCACATGCAGATGGATTTCCATAAAATCATTCCTCATTAATGTGTGCAACCATCTCTTCCACCGCAGGTTCACTTTCTCAGTTGAATGGTAAGAACTTGTCTCATTCTTCATATGTTCAAACGAATCACGGAAATGTGAGCATGTGAGCAATCTCTCTTTCTCTCTCATAGTTTGTGGACACGCCCCTCTAAACAACCGTATCGTGGGTGGTGTGGATGCCGCTGAAGGGTCGTGGCCGTGGCAGGTCAGTCTGCACAGCTCCACCGGAGGTCATTTTTGCGGAGGATCCCTCATCAACAATGAATGGGTGCTGACGGCAGCTCACTGTTTACCTGGGTAAAATTCAGCTAAATAAACATTAATTGGTAGAATATGTTGTTTTCTTTTCTCACTGTATTCTCTGACTGTTTTCAGTGTCAGTGCATCCAGTCTCCGTGTGTACTTGGGAAGGAGGACACAGCAGGGAGTCAATGCCAATGAAATCAGTAGAAATGTCGTCACAATCATCATTCACCCCTCCTACAACAGCGACACAAATGACAATGACATCGCTCTGCTGCGCCTGTCCTCCACCGTTACCTTTAATGACTATATTAGACCCGTGTGTCTGGCGGCACTGAACAGCGGCTTCCCTTCTGGCACCAGCAGCTGGATCACAGGATGGGGAGATGTTCAGTCTGGAGGTATACGGACACATACAAACTCATTCGTTCACACATACATCTACTCATAACAACACTAATTGTGTGTTTGTGTGTACCCTGTTCAGTGAGCCTAGCTGCTCCTGGGACTCTGCAGGAAACTATGGTTCCAGTGGTGGCTAATGATCAGTGTAATAATCTGCTGGGTTCTGGATCTGTTACCAACAACATGATCTGTGCTGGTTTATTGGAGGGAGGCAAAGACACCTGCCAGGTACAACAGTCAACTCGATCATTAAGCGTGCACATCAAAACATGCTTCATGTCTGAAAGTCCATTGTGTTTTTGTGTCACAAACATCTATCTGTGCTTCTTTTTTACACATGTGTGTGATTATTTCTGGCCATGTTTGATTAGACGTTAGTCCCATAACTGTCTTTCTGCAGGGTGACTCTGGAGGTCCAATGGTGAGCAAGCAATGTTTGGTGTGGGTTCAGTCTGGTATCACCAGCTGGGGTTATGGCTGTGCCGATCCCAACGCACCTGGTGTGTACACGCGTGTTTCACAGTATGAGAGTTGGATCTCCACCACCATTGTCCAGAATCTCCCAGGATTCGTCGTCTTCAACCCCTCAAGTACATGCCGACCTGTTTCTACGACCGTTTCTACTGCATCTCCTACTTCTACCACCTCAACCGTGTCTACTGCATCACCTCCTTCTACTACCTTAAGAGCTTCTACTACTACAACAACAACTACTACCCTAAGACCTCCACCCAATCAGAGTAACTTTCTCACACACACACACACACACACACACACACACTCTCTAAATGAGAAAATATTTGGGTTGACTATACCTTTAAAGGGGTCATGTTTTTTTATTTTTTATTTTAATATGCTCCTTAAGGTTCACTTAGGAATAATAAAGAGTTAATAAAGAGTTTTGCACAAAAAAAGAAACAAATATATATGCGGATAAATTATTATTTTCAACCGTGAGTAAACAACCATTGTCATGACTGGCTAACGTTATTGCATAAAAAAAAAAAATTTAACTAGTAAGTGTTTTGAAAATATAATAATCCATATAAAACAATTATTTACAGACAAAGCATTATGAAATCATTGACTTGTGATGCAGTTACTGTCGAATACAATACAGTCCAATACAGCTTCATCTTTAAACAAAACAAAATGCTCCAAACAAAAATATAATCCTCTGACGCGATCCAGGAGGACCCCTTTAAAATAAACCATCCAGTTGTTTCCAATGCTGGGATCCTTCTGTAAAGTCTGTACATATATGCAAACGATCCATTTAAAATGGACACGTCAAAGACAATGTTCTTTCTCTCTTCAATTTGTCCTGTTGTTGACAAAGTGCATGTAGTATTTCAGAAACTGAATGCACATCTGTATACTGTATCTACTGTAACAAGCATTAGTGATTATAATGGGTTCTACTTGCTTTTGACGCAACGCTCACTTCCAGTGTAGGAAAATGTCAGCCTTTAAGTGACTGAATGCCAGGGGGGCTTTTTTGCGATGATGTATTCATCAATGTCTTGCTCTGAAGGCAATCATATGCAAATCTATTTGCCCATGTTACTTCACAGATCATGCAATATCAAAATGAGCCATTTTTGGAGCTTGATTAAATCGATAAATTGTTCTTATATGTCTTATATGAGAAATATTATTATTATGTCATGACCCCATTAACATCACTTCTCTGCATAATGCTTGCTTTAATGTCTTTTTTGGTGTAGTCTCAAAGTCTTGTCTAGGGAGATGTGGCGAGAGATTTGACATCCGTAACCGCTGCCACTGCAATCCTAACTGTAGAAGAAAATGCTGCCCGGATTATAAAAGGCGATGCAGTAAGTCGAAATACACAGACAAATATATAAACAACTGTTCATAGTTCTGGAACACAATTCAAACATGCTTCAACTCTTAAAAGTCTTCAGCTCTATGTTTTTTTTTGTTTTGTTTGTTTTTTGTCTCTGCAGGGGCATAAGTGGACTAGAAGATTTGTAGATCTTCTAATTGGCTCACCTGCACTATACATTTCGCATCAAATAAATGATATTCAAAATTATTATTTTAAACCAGAACAGAATGAATTAAATTTAAATGAATTTCTTCAAAAAAAATTGCAATGAATGTATGTGTGTGTGCAAGGATACAAATTAATATTATATAAATGGATTAAATAATATCATCATTACTTCATATTATAAGTCTTTTGTAATTTGTGTTATATGATTAAATAAAAACTTAGCATCATATGGCTTTTGTAATGATTTTTTGCTGTTACATAAATCACACCAACAGGCAGTTGCACCTCATTGCAGTACGAGATCCAGGGGGCAGAGTTGGATCCAGATCTAAGGGGTGGGTGGAGATGGGTAGGGGTGGGGTTAGGTATCAGGCGGCGGAGATGGCTGGGTTTAGGTAGATGTAAAGTGGATTTCATGGTCTGTAGTGAGAATTTATGAAAGGTGTCATGGTACAAACCACATGCTTGTGTATAGCTACAAGGATGTACAGTAATTAAGTGATAAAATCATTGCTCAATAGCCATCTAAACAGGTGATGAAACATAAAAAATCTATATGTATTATCAGACTGTTATGTTAAATTTCTATTAACTACTGTTGAAAGTTGCAAGCCAACTGAGAGAACCACATTGAGTTCCCACACAGAGAAATAACCCTTATTTTCACACCACAAAAGGAGTAATCCAGCCTCTCAAAGGTGAATCCAAAGGTGAATTAGTGTGCACTGAAAAAATAAAACACATTGACATGGACCTTGGGTAGGTAGAGATGTAGAAACATCATCAACAAATCATCCTCTCTAACAGCACTAGCAAGGCAAAGTTATGGTTTTGATTCTGAGGGAATGCATTAATGGTATACTTTCAGTTTTGATGTAATATAATGTTAGTTGCTTTGATGTCAAACAGCATAAACGTAGAACACTCTTCTAGCAACCTTAGATGAGCCAAACAAATGACCATTTTCAACAAACAGTAAGGGGTCAGAAAACCTAGCAACGGAACTTAACATAAAGGTGTAAATGGCTCACCTACCCCTCTATTTCATATTACAGAACACACTCAAAAACCTTAAAGTCAAATATTTTTAGTAAAACAATAAGTTAAATAAGCCTATATAAAATATTAGGCCATTTATAAAATATGTACTCTGGGATTTCTGTTATGATTATTTCAGATATGATTATTGCCAGCCTTAACATCCTCAAAACGTGCACTAAACATGCTATCGTGGTGGTTTTGAGTGAGGGTGTGATGCCTTTTTGCCTAACCCCGTGACAAATCCCTGACGCCTTCATCCGGGACTCTTCCACCAGAACACTCTCCAACATGGCGGCGTCAGGTAAGAATAATGCGCACTCGTGCTCTGCCTATATTTGTTGGATTCTTTGCGAAACAGCGTTAAACAAGTTTGTATTACATTCCTGGGTTCAAACGTAATGGATATGGCATTCAGTATATCCGTTTTTCAAACGCGACGCTGTTTAATATGTTGGTTAAATGCTTTGAAAACATGGATTAGTCGCATTGGGGAAGCCGTATGCTCAGACGAATTAGCCAGTGTGCTAGCGGCTAAATCATGTGCCTCGTCTGTATCCTTGACCCCTAAGTTTTAGGACGCGACATGGTTTCGCAAACGAATGTTCAGGTAATTTGGTAGTTCATAAGGTTAGTGTGTGGAAAGTTAAAATGTTATGTTCAATGATACTGGATAAAGTTCTGGATGTTGCTAATAACCCGTGTTTGGTGCGTATGCGCAGTACGTTACAGAGGAGGGACCGGAGGGTTCACCACGTGCACGGAACCGTGGTCGTACTCGTTAAAACCAACTGGACCGATTGTAGTTGTGGGGATCTTGTAATCATTTTTATGTGGTTACGGATTCATTCAGTGCAGTTATATCGTTACTGTTGCTGATGGCGAGTGTCTTATTTATGTTGAGCCATTATTGAATCATTCACTAATTTAATCGATTAATTTACGACCAAAACATTTCTTATTACCTTATATTAATGGTCGTGTCAGTAGTTTGACATAGCATACAAAATATAGTGCCTAAGTAAGTTAACAAAACGAATTTGATTTAAATGAATGAAATCTCGAAATATGATCTCTTGAGTAACGTTACTAACGTTACCAGGCAGATGCACACGCACAGTACATCTTATGCAAGTACAGCCCCTATCTTTTTGAATAGGGCAAGACTGAATTATTAGAATGTTAATGTTACATGTGAAAGAGATAGGCCTATTTTGAATCAATAGTATCTAACACTAGTGGTATAACAAATTATTCTTTCTCTGGCTAGTCCAATTAACGCACATACGTTATAGAGAAATAAATAGACAATGCTTATGTGAACAATATCATTGGCTCTTTTAACTGTAACAGGACTAAAGCTACCATATTTCATGTTAGACATTCCCATTCATTTTTATTTGAGTGAACCATCTCCTCCCTTTACAACATCCCTGGTGAGGCTCACTGAGTGTCTTATCTCACCTTTTCATTTCCTAGTTGCATAGCATCAACACATCTTTTGCACAAGTGTGATATTAATCAACATTTAATGAGTGGTGTGAAGCCTATTATCATCTGTTTTGGCTTTCATGCAGTTTAATTTAGGGTGTTGAGAGGTTGCTGTAGAGGAAATCCTCTACAAGTGTAATGACATTTCACTTAAGGCAAGCCATCCATTTTTTTTTTTTTTTTTTTTTTTTTTGCATAATCATGCTTCGTCTGTTATCTCTGTCACCATGTGGCCATGGTGGCATGAAATGAGAATTCACCCTGTTTTCTAAATGCATCTTATTGATCTTATTGTAAACAATTCATCCATGCACGTTTCCTTTTTTCGACTTTTTAATTCATAATCAAATTGTCATAAATTCTGATCTCATTTTCTGGTGAAATGAGTGACCGATTTCTCTCTGGCGTAAACCGGACTCCTCCAATTTTTGAGTCTGCTTAATCACTGCCGCTTTCTTACAATCAACCTCAAGCTTGCATTCAAGATCGGCCTTCGGCCAATCAGCAACCGTTGAATAGAACCATGTCCCTGTCCTACTTTTTTTCCCCTTTTCAAAAATCTTTCACTGAGAAGTCCGCCACAACGTGGAAGAAAAGATCAGTTGCTACTTTTATTTCGTTATGAATTTTAACATGCATAAATGTATCAAATAATGAAATGGCTCAGTTTGGGCATTCTCATAGAATATGTTATTCTTTCTTTAGCTAAGAAGAATAAGAAGAAGGGGAAGACCCTGACCCTGACTGATTTCCTTGCAAATGATAGTGGCAGTGCACCCCCCAGTTACCCCAGCGCAAAGACTACCAGCTGGGCAGATGAGACTGATGACTTGGATGGAGATGGTGAGTAAATCCTGGAATGGACTCCAAATCTAAACCAACTCATTGCTAAGATATGCATGACAAATGTGCTATTAACATCTGTTTTGTGTATATACAGGTGTAGATAGGATCCGATGCTTTTTGAAATCCAGTCAACTAAAATTGTATTCTGTGGTAATCAAGTCCCATTCTCCTCCTCATTAGTCTCAACTTCCTGGCACACTACGGAGGATACATATCGAGCTCCTCCCATCGATCGCTCCATCCTGCCTACTGCGCCTCGTGCAGCACGGGAGCCAAACGTTGACCGCTCTCGGCTGCCACGTGGCCCGCCCTACACTGCCTTCCTCGGTAACCTTCCCTACGATGTCAGCGAGGAATCTATTAAAGACTTCTTTAGGGGACTTGCGGTCAGTGGATATCTAGATAATACTTATATCTTAACTGCTTGACAAGTGCAGGATGTTTCTAACTGTCTTTTTTTGTATATCATCAGATCAGTGCGGTGCGTTTGCCACGGGAGCCTAATAACCCAGAAAGGCTAAAAGGATTTGGTTATGCTGAATTTGATGACGTTGATTCAATCTTGCGCGCGCTCAGTCTAAATGAAGAGGTAGGTTTTCAATAAAATACTGACATCAGTGCATTGCTGTTGTTTTCTATTTTAAATTTAATGTTGCCTCAACTTTGTATAGAATCTTGGGAACAGGCGGATCCGGGTGGATATCGCAGATCAGTCCAATGACAAAGGTGAACTTATGATATACAAACTCACATTGTCATGCCTCTGTAAAAGTGTCTTTCTTGATTAAATTTAACGTCATATTTCCTCCAGAGAGGGATGGTGGATCAATGTCAGGGCGAGACCGGGATAGAGATCGCGGTCGTGGGATGGATGGTGGCCCTGATAAGACTGATTCTGATTGGAGGGCACGCCCGAGTGGGGAGCAAGATGAAGGACCACGCCGTGACGAAGGATTTGGAGACCGTAAGTTAAACAGATGCTAAGTGTATATCATGCTTAAAATACTTGGCATATATTGTTTTTTTGAGAATGTCTACTATCAAGTGAAATTCAAGTATTTATAACATTAAAAGTAGAGCTTGAATGATTACTAAAAGTAATAGATTAATGCAACTATCAAATCGCAAATATTGAAGGTAGGGCTGCACGATACTTGAAAAATATGTGTTGATGTTGAGTGTTGCAATAACGATATAACATTTCCCTAGAGAATATCGTCCATCGGCCCAACCCTAGCGATATGTGAACAGTCCCCTCCCCTTACACAGTACCTGCATTTGTGACACATCTCTATTGAAGCCAAAATATTACCATATTTCAGACATACACTTCTTTTTAGGCACTGGTCCTTCGCTGATGCCGGCTAAACATCACATCGTCCGAACCATATTATTTGTACTATTTTACCTTGTGTTTTCTTTTTGCAGGGTCTCGTGATCGCTATGAGTCGGACCGATTCAGAGATGCTCCAAGGCGTGATGATCGTTTTGACAGCGGTCGAGATCGCTTCAGTGGGCGAGATCGCTATGATGACAGAGGTAGCAGAGACTATGATCGTGGAGGTTGGTGGAGTTTCGTTCAGTTGAATTTCTTATGATACTCTAATCTAAAATGGTGGCAAGTTATTAAAGGAATAGCTCACCCCCAAAATTTAAATTGTCACCATTTATTCACTGTCAAGTTGTTCAAGACTGAACCTGTATGAATATTTCTTCAGCTGAACACAAAAAAAAAAAAAAACATATTTTATAGAGGCCGATTCCGGTTTTCATTGAGTTTGACCTGCCGATACCGAATTTAGCCGATTACGATATTATTTTTCTAACCTCTTTTATTTTCAATAACACATTTATTTTCTCTCTATATATTTTTATAAAACACTATATACTTTCTCAAACTCAGTAATAATAAAAACAAGTTTAAATGGGTACATTCTTTTCTGGCATAGCCTACTCCAGTTCTTGTTACACACAACATGCAAATTCTGTGCATTTTGGGCACTTTTAAACCCTTTTTTTTTCCTGTCAAAAGTGAGCTTTCACTTTAATTGAGCATGAGCAGTGCAGCAAAAATATACATGGCGCAGAAACCGCTTCACTGCTCCTGCTACCGGTTTGAATGCAATCAATGATTTACATGCAAGCCGAAAAAAAATATTTACAGCAGAATAATGAATTTCATACAGATTCAGACCAACTTTAGAGTGAATAAATCATGCTAGATTTAAAATGATTTGGAGAACTGTCCCTTTAATTTCTGAGTGAGTTCGTGAATGTTTGGTGTGTACATTTATTGTAGTTTGCTTTATAATTAATGCTATGATCATATGGTTGTCTTAGGTTATGATTCACGTGGTGGAGGAGGACGACGAGGATTCAGCAGTGGCTTCAGACGAGACTTTGATGACCGGCGTGATGGAGATCGCTACGGAGATCGTGAGGAGCATTTTGACAGGAGGGATGATGGACGAGAAGAGAGGGGTACAGGATGAGAAATTACATGCAGAAATTACTCACGTTAGCTTTAAAGATCCAAATTTTATATCAGAAATGTTGTCTCCCTATTCTAATTTTATGAGATTTTTCGTTCCAGCCTCTACACAGAGGCCCAAGTTAAACCTGAAGCCACGGAGCATCCCAAAAGAGGAGGAACAGAGTGGAACCTTGCCCCCCCAGATTAACACGACAAGTTCCAGCAGGGCTTCCTCTATATTTGGGGCTGCCAAACCTGTGGACACGGCCGCCAAGGAGAGAGAGGTGGAGGAGAGGCTGAAGAAAGAACAAGATAGACTCCAGAGACAGTTGGTGGATGACAAGAACAGGGGTCCAGAGAGACGGCCGAGAGACCGGTGAGAAGGGGGAAATTGACGGGTAGATACGAAACTTGATTGCGAACCACACTCTTGGGAAGTTTGTTAGTGGTGAGAAAATCTTGATGGGATGAAATGGAGTACAGCTGAGGAACATCTTTGAAATCGCCCACTATACCGTTATTCACTATTCCCAACATTACTCCACTAATAAAGTCCACTTGAAACTTGAAAACAACTGAGTGATATTGGACACAGCTGGAAGGGCTGCCTATTTTGTATAGTTTGTGTTTAACAATCATTTGAAATGTAGCAAACTGGCAGCTCCCGTAGTAATGGAAAGATTTATCTTGAAATCTGAGATGGAAACTAGCATACAAACTTTAATTAATCGATTTAATAATGAATTTATACCTGTATGATAACGCTGGACTTGCACGGTTTGGAAAATGGATTGATGATTTAATTCAGCTGCAAGCGCCATCTTCCTCCATCAGCCTCAGCTGCTGTTCTCTATACTGCAGCTCGTAAACATAAAGCCATGAACATCAGATTCGAGCAGCATAATTTCAGAATGTTTTTTAGTGTCTTCCATCATTTTCCTAACTTCCTATCTCCGCAGCACTTGTTAGCTTAGCTTCCAAACAAGATGGCGGATATTGATTTCAGAATCTGCAAGTGAAGTCCCACCCACTGACCTGTGATAGAAACACACCCCGGATAATGAGCTAGTGTTTGTAGTCTCAACCCTTATACAAAGAAATGGGACTTCCTGCTTTTTATGACGCAAAATGACAATTTTTATGTCATAAAAAGCAGGAATGGGAACAATGAAATCCTTATTTCTCTCATCTCAGGGGAAAATAAGGGAATAAACCATAACCATTCAAAAATATGACTGGGTGTCTAAAGATACAAAGCTTAACGCAAATGAGTGAAGTGTCCCTTTTAGTGCTGATTTCGGACACAGCCCTGGAGGACAAAAAGTGGCATTTAAATAGTGAATTAAAAGAGTAATTTTCGAAGTTGAATTTTTTTTTTCTTTTGTTTTTCAGAGACCCGAGTTGGAGAAGTGAAGAGCCATTTAAAGAGCGGCAACGCACAGGAAGTGAATCCTCACAACCTAAAGGTAATACATTCGTGTTCTTAGCAGATACCTTATCAAAGAATATAGGTTAGGGATGCACTAATATTACAATTCTGATTAATGTTCTCATATCATATGATTCAGATCAGAAAAGCTGATAACACACAGTTTATAACTGGTATTAGAAACGGTTGTAGTCATTAAAAAAAAACGGTAGATGTGCTTTATATGCAATTTTATTGCATTGAATGATTGACGGATTGTTTTAAGCAATGTTGATGTTAACTAAAACTATTAAAAATTTTTGTGAAATATAAATTAATTCAACACTTCAATGAAAATGAGAAATTTTACTAAAACACTAAAACTAATGCTGAAATAAATATAAATTAAAGCTAAATAGAAATATAAAAGGACAAAAGCACATAAAATTACTGATCCTTTAAAATAAACTGAAAAATAAATAAAAACATATTCAAAATTAGAGGTCGACCGATTTTACCAATACCGATATTTAGGTTTGAACGTGCATGCTGGATGTTTAATCCCGGGTCGTGTTTGCGTTCACACAGAAGGCGTTCTGGCAATTTCCCGGGATCAACGCGTTGTGTGAAAGGGTCTCTCTCTCTTCTCTCTCAAATTACATCTATGTGTTCCAGGAACAAGAGGAAAAAAACGTTATATTTAGGCTATATACTGGCCATACCTGACTAACATATCTCCATGGTTAGTCATGGGTTGTAAATGGCATAACATTTTTTTAAAAAGGCATTCAATTTAATTTGAAGTTACCTGCAGAAACCCTGTAAACAATTGATAATAGTATGGTAACAATTGCGACCATACATTTGGTGCCTGCGTGTGTTTGTCACATTGCTTTAATCGCTAGAGGTTGCCATTAATGTTATTCCTCTCAGACTCGACACCAAACGTACTGCTGTTATTTCTCTGCTAATGCAGCATCTAGTCAATAAATGAATTACTTTATAATGATACGGCAATATGTTCTTTAGTGTTCTCTATTCTTACTTATTTTTGCTGATAATGATAGTTCGACCAATCAACTTTCAGTACCGATATATCGGCAAAACCGATGAATCAGTCAACCTCTATTCAAAATATTAATAAATGCTTTAATAGTGTATAAATAATTCTAAAATAACACTGGTTTGAATATCTCTAAAGATAGCAGGAAAACACAATCCAGTAGTTAAATTAATCAAAATATATTTCTGTGTCTGTGATGTTAAGGACCTAGGTCTCATGATGGTGAACATTCAGAGAATGACGTCTTCAGTGGCCAGGAGGATGAGCCGATCTCTCCTGCATGTACATCACCCTCTTCCCATCAGGGAGGGCTCCCACTGAAAGTAATGCCTGCCCCTCCCCCTAAGGAAAATGCCTGGGCCAAACGCAGCCCAGGGGGGAGTACTAATGAGAAGGAAGGAACCCGCTTACCTGCTCCCAATAGTGCAAAGGAGACTGTATTGGGCAAGGGTAAATGTCTCCACTAAAACATTTCAACAGAGCGGCAAGAACCTTTGAATATGTACTGTTTTCTCACTTGTCTTTTGTTCTGTTTGCTAGATGAAAACCAGGATCATGGCGTTCAAAAGAATAAAGTTATGTCTCAGGGAAGAGGTGGAGGAGGAGTTGGAAGAGGAGGAGGAGGAGGAGGAGGAGGAGGAGGGGGGTGGGGACGAGGAGTTGACTGCCCAACTAAAGACAAGCAGAGAGAACCTGCAGACAGGTGAGGCAGCCTTCACATTCGATTTTGGCTTCCAATGATAATGAAAATACGATATTTGAGATTAAAGTCCCTGTAAAGGCAATTCTAAAAAAAAAAAAAATTATAAACACATTAGAAATGTATTGCTAAAACTTATGTGAACTGTGAAGTACTGAATTGTGGAGTTTAACAGTTTTTTGGGCGGTGCTAAAACGGAGGCCCTATGACGCACTGGAACCCCTGAGCTCCTGGACACACCCCTACTTGATGATGCATTGAGGCTGGCCCCTCCCCTAACAATACAAATAGAGCACATTCACATCAGTTTGCCACCGCTCAATCGCGATTTTCTGTCAGTTTGCTATCTAGCTATGCCTTTGTAACAGAAATGCTTACTACCTGGAAGTGATCACGCACAAAAACGGCCACATCAAGAAGAAGTGGATTAATTTTGTGAAGAGGCACCTTGATGGAGTCTTGTAAAGAGATATGATCAGATTTTATTGGGGCTTTCTGTTTCTGGAATATAACAACTAGATTAATCATGCCTTTTGCTCCTTGTTGCAGCACGACAGCCCCAGTCCTTATTCTCTCTCTTTTTTTTTTGTATAGAAAAGAGCAGCTCAGTCCTCTTTGTGTAATGTGGAAGGAAAGAATTACGGATTTGTAACAACTTGAGGATGACTAAATTTTAGCTTTGAGTGAACTATTCTTAAACTCCTCCTTCTATTGACAGGAAGGAGGTCAGGCGGGACAAAGATCCCAGAATAGCCTCAGAACCAAAGAAATATGAAGAGAGCGTTCCTCCTGTGAGTACCTCACTTGGTCCTGACCCCTGAATCAGTTTTTTTCATGCAGCCTTTTTAATGTAGGCTACATTGCAACTCCAGAAGATGATTGATTTGTAGAAACTACAAATCAGTGGTGGTGTTCGGCCCACCGTTGTCTGTGTAGAACTTTGGGAATAAGATGTACAGAAACAAATACCGGAACATTATTTTCTTCATGCCACTCTAATTTGTTCATCACAGACATTGTGGTCATAACATTTCTTTTTGTCCCTACAGCAATTCAGCTCAGCTAGTAAATATGCTGCCCTACTAATGGATGGAGAACAGGGAGAAGATGAAAGTGGAGAGGAATGAACATTAGGAAGGATCAACTAACTACAGAACAGAAGAAAAAGAGCAACTTGAACGATCAAATGAGGGGTTAAATTAAAATTCCCTCATCAGATGGAGTGGTGTAGTTTAAGGGGATGATGGCTAAGGTACCCACAATTCTGTTCTGTGTCACGTTTATGGAAATGTATACAAGTATTCCCAAAACTGGTCCATTTTAATTAAAAAAATAAAATGAAAACAATCAGTGCAGTAAGTAGATAAATGCATTCATTCATCTAGACATTTAAAAATCATTGTTAACTTGAAAGTCATTGTTATAAATAAAAAAAAGTATGTAAGATACTATCACTTGCCTCTGAATTTCTCTGATTTAATTCAATCAGCATTTCCAATATAATGCATACATCTAATTTAATTGGCCTTAAGGGGTTAGTTTACCCAAAAATTATGTCATCAATGATGACTCGCCCTCATGTCGTTCCAAGCCCGTAGGACCTCCGTTCATCTTCGGAACACAGTTTAAGATGTTTTAGATTTAGTCCGAGAGTGTTCTGTCCCTCCATTGAAAATGTATGTACGATATACTGTCCTTGTCCAGAAAGGAAATAGACATCATCAAAGTAGTCCATGTGACATCAGTGGTTAGTCATTTTTGAAGCATCGAAGATACATTTTGGTCCAAAAATAACAAAAACTACGACTTTATTCAGCATTTTATTCTCTTCCGGTTCTGTTGTCAATCCGCGTTCACGAGTGACGCTGATGATGTAAGACGCTGCTGACGTGAATCTGGTGCGTCCGTGTATTCGGGTTCAAATAAATATGGCTGGGCAAAAAAGTGCAAGTCTTCCTCTGTGTCTATCCCTAGACATGTTTGCAAAGATTATTTTGATTACAGCATGCGTCTCCCTCAGACGGTAAACGAAGCTCAGGCGCACTGATAACACGTCAGCAGTGTCTTACATCATCGTCTCTGAATGCGGATTGACAACAGAACCGGAAGAGAATACAGTGCTGAATAAAATTTTTGTTAGTTTTGGACCAAAGCGTGTTTTCGATGCTTCAAAACATTCTAACTAACCCACTAATGTCACATGGACTACTTTGATGTCTTTATTTCCTTTCTGGACAAGGAAGGTAGACCGTACATTTTCAATGGAGGGACGGAAAGCTCTCTGACTAAATCTAAAATATCGTAGCCCTCAAACTGTATTCACTTTAGCCCTTAATCCCGTAATTGTGGACAAATGTGGGCACAGAGGACTCAGGTGTGATCTTAATTTTTATTTATTATAAATGTTATACCACTGTCTTCGATAAAGTTTTTTCTATCTATTTAATGTGGGGTTTTTTTTGGGGTGGTATTTTTGAATTTATTTACTTCAAAAAGTACCATACTTTCTATGTAAATTATGCTTATTAATTTACATTAATTTAACTAAAAAAATTTAACTACATTAAAATCATTCCAATATGTTCTTAGAGCTAAAATGTAAAGATTAAGTGACTTTGCTGTCACCTGGTGTCTTATTTTGGCTTTTTTTTTAAAGAATGCTCTAAGTTACAGTTTTCCCCATTCATTTCTATGGGTGCCCATTTTTGACCTAAATACAAGATTGAGGGTCTTGTACCGCTCAGATCAAGGGAAGTATTTTTTAAAAAATAAATCAAAACTATTTTGTCCAGAATACAGTTTTAGGGTTAAACTGTGTTCTAAAGATGAATGGAGGTCTTTCGGGCTTGGGTCGTCATGAGGGTGAGTCATTAATGTCATCATTTTCATTTTTGGATGAACTAACCCTTTAATGCCCTGTATTGTAATGCCATAATCCATACGCCTTATTCACGGCAGCGCCATCTTTGATTTTTAATGAGAATGAAAGCGAGGCTGTGAGGGATAGACTTGCATCTCTTCAATGGGCTGTACTGTTATTTAATGTGTTTTCAGTTTGTTCTGCTCATGAAACACTGGAAAAATATCTTTCCAAGAAATGTCAGTTGACAAAAAACTCCCGACAATGTAAGCTGTGAAAAATTGTAAGTAATCTAGCCGCTTTATTCAGCTTTTACAGCGGATGCCATTGGAAACACGGTAAGTCTATCTCTCACAGCCTCACTTTCATACCTGTCATGGCGCTGCTCTGAATAAGGTCTATGGTGTGTATTTGTTGAAAGGGGCTTATACATAAAATTTTCCACTTTAAGAGTTAATTAGCAGAGCCAGCAGAAACACCCTAGTACTGACTGAGGTGTAGGCGGCAGGATGGGCTTTCTTCTCAAATCCTCTGAAACTCAAAGGTTTCTATCTTATTTTGTTCATCCGTTTTCTTCAAACCTGCATAGCATTGTTGTTTTCTCAGAAGGCAAGGGTAGTGAACTCCCTCAAAGTGCTCTCAAACCAATGTAATGATCCAACACTGAGGTTGTGCAGATCCTCCCAGTCTCTTGGTGATTATTGAAATGAGCTGCATGTGTGCCACAAGAAATCTAGTTTGGTTACATTTTAGAGCCATTTACTCTGAGCTTTGAAAAATTGAGCCATGTGTTTCTCGAGGTGTCTTTCACATACTGCTTTATTAGATGCATTTTACGACCCATTCTAGGGTGGGATCTTTGTTGCGATGCTTGTTGCATTCTTTGTGTGGTCATATTGTGCTGTCCGTCCGTGTTTTCCCAGCTGCCCTAACTGAAACACTCCTGCCTGTGAACTGGGCTGTTCTAGCTTCACACAAATACTGCAATTCTTTTTACTGGCGGAGAAAATGTTGTCTGGTGGTTTGGCATTTTTTACTTAGATGATTCTCGCACTCTCTATGAGTGCATTGCCACACATGGAGATACCTGAACACTGGCCATGTTATGAAATGTTTGGGAAAACTTCATTTTAAGGTGTCCTTGTTACATATATTAAATGTACTTACCATTTGAAATTAATTATACATAATTACATGCAACCAAACCCAAATCGTATAGTATACATGTTAATTCATATTAAATGCATAATTGCACTAATAATGATGCCTTAAAATAAAGTGTAACCAAATGTTTTTGTCATCCTTATGGCTTTAATAAACAAGCCATTTGGCATGGCTTTTGTGGTCTGCCTGCCATTAAGGTTTATTTTAGAGTAACATAGTTTACTTGGCTTCATGCTAATTAAAAAACAACTTTCCAGTTGAGACTTTCCAGATTTTATAGATTTAGAATGATTATTAAAACTGTAGTTAAAGCTATCGTTCTTGGTGTGAACAGACCTTTATTTCTTTTAGTGGTAAAACCGTGCAATATGTTAATTATTCAGATAAGACTCGTTCACAAAAAAGGGCCATTTTAGTATCAAACGATTACTATTTCAGCGCCCACGCTGACTCGTGATTTTGTAAAATCGTTCTGGATGTGATTTCAACTGTATTCCTCTGTATCGTTGGTTGTTTATATTTTAGTGTTAACAATCTCCGAACTATAGCATTAAAATTAAAATCTTTGGTGTAAAGGCCCTTTCACACTGAGTATGAACACCAAGCGAGTCGGTAACGAACAGAAAGCAGAATCAAGGTAGCATATGTGAGACTGCAATCCTGTGTGTTTTCAGCTTTTAGTGACAGGTGCAGTGCTTTGTGTGTTTACTGTGTTTTCTGCTGTGTCAGGTGCATGTATGAGTGTTGTTTCTGTTGTCTGTAGAATGACAGTTGGTGTTAACTGGTGGTCTCTGGACACTGAAGCAACCTTTAATAGTAACCAAATAAAATGTATTGGTAGTTCACAAATAGGTTTTTGGTAATGGGTAATATTTTTTTATATTTTGGTATATTATATTTTTTATTATTAATTTTTTTTTAAATATAATTTGGTAATATTCTTTTATATAAAGTTTTCAATCTATTAGCTTTATTTCAGATCACTTGAACAGTCTTGTGGTGTGTACTTTTAAATTACTTTTGACCCAACTCAGGTTGAATTGGATAATGTACCATATTGATATAGAAACTGAAACAAAATATATTCCATTTTTATCAACAACATAAAGAACATATAAAAATGTTAATTAAATATTACATTATGTCATGGTTAGTGAAGGAACTGGAAGGGATTTGTGAGGTTAGGCTAATAAATAAATCAAACAAATTTAAATATTTAAAAAAAACTGTGTTTGAAAGAAAAACTCTTTGTTGAGAACACTTATTAAAGGGATATTCCACTTTTTTGGGATATAGGCTAATTTTACAACTCCCCCAGAGGTAAACAGTTCAGTTTTACCGTTTTCGAATCCATTCAGCCAATTTTCTGATATTTAGAAGAATATCACTAACCAGACAGTTTCTTTTCTCATTGACTTCCATAGTAGGAAAAAAATATATACTATGGAAGTCAATGAGACCAGAAACTGTCTGATTACTGATATTCTTCTAAATATATATATATAAAAATTGGCTGAATACATTTGAAAACGGTAAAACCCAACTGTTTAACTCTGGGGGAGTGGTAAAATGAGCCTATTTCCAAAATAAGTGGAGTATCCCTTTAAAGTGAAATGATTTCTGTAAATCTAGTGGTCAAATGCTGTGTAGCCGATATCAGTTTTCCATGTAATTAGCCATCTGATTAGTGGCTGGTCTGTGTGCGCAATTCCACTAAACTGGAAGACTTTGTAATCAAGAAGAAAGTTCTGTAGTCTGATTATGAGTATTTTAAAACATCTAATTACGAGTAGGCCTAGGCCTACAGTAATCTGATTACACAATTCCAGCACTGTATGTTTATGGCAATTATGCAATAAGCAGAAGCATTTTATTTTACACAGCAGGAGTATAGTCCAGTAAAAGTACATTGAAAAGTCAGCCATATTTCTGAAATGTGTGTTACAGGATGCTCATTCAGTCATGTAACCTTCATTGATTGCAGTCTAACAACTTCTATGGTCACCTCATTTGGTCCCTTCAGCTTTTTATTCATTTAATTGGAGATACTGCTCACCCTGTTTTATAAAACATGATTATGAATGGAATTTTATTCATAGAACAGTTTTGTGGTTTGATATGCTCCACAGTAACTTATTCAATATTACACCCACACATGCAGATGCAAAGCGAATACTGCTAGAGAGCGGATGTGAAGGAACAAGAACAGATGCTTTGTTGTCTCATTCTGCCAATAAAAGACACAGATGAGGAACAGAAGACCTAATGCTTCTCTCTGTGTGCAGACTAGGGGACTGGGTGGTGAAGAGATGTTGGAATACAAGCCTTAGGGATTGTGTGTGTGTGATGGCTCCCAGTGGGTGAGCAGAGCTCAAGTGCCTGAGAAGAGGAAGGGTCTGACGTAAGCCTGTCAAAAACAGCTGCGATACAGACGGAGGAGGGCTTTACATAGTGTGCATGTGAGGGGGCAAGAGACAGTCAAAGGGAGGACACCCCGAGAGACGCTTAGAGGGAGACGTTGCAAGTTGGAGAGAATGTGTGGAAAAGGTGGTGTGAGAGACATGTTTCTGTGTTGGAACTGGACGCTAAGACACTGAGCAACAAGGAGAAGTCCTCGAGGAAACGGAAACAAAAAGAGCAACCTGGACCGAAGACCAAGGAAAACAAGTGCTAAGAAAGTGTGAAAGGAGAAGGAAAGGATATTTAAGGAGGAATAAAGCAAGTGAAGTAGAATGGGTTGTGTCTTCAGCAAGCAGCGATGGGCTAAACAGAGGGATTCCCAATCCTCGGACCCCCCGAAAACACGAGACCTCACGGATGATGCAGAGATTCTCAGCTTAACAGAGGTATGTGTGTGACTGTGACTGTAAACACATGGGGTCAGGTGAGAAGCGCTCCAGGCAATGATTGCATCGGGTCTCCCTCAATGCTTATGTTTTGTCTTCAGTAAATCATTTCATATTTGCAATCTTTAGAATCAGAGGTTTTTCCATGGAGAACAAATGAAAAACATATTGTACTATTTATAACTAATCCGTTTAATGTTCTTTATAAATGTATAACAGTAAAACTTCACAATTAGGTTCAGTTAATTTAAATTAGTGAATGCATTAGTATCATGAGCATAAACTACTTTAATGTTAATATACTGTTGTTCATTGTGAATTCATGTTCATTCATGATGCATTAATATTAAATACAGCTTGTTGGTATTAATCTAGAATTATAAATCATGTAAAAGTATTGTTTTCAAATGCATCAACCATAATTGTTATATATTATTATTATTATATATTTATATTATTCATTATGTTTTACTCTTGGGGTTCCCGAGTTGGTTGACATTCCATAGGAGTTTTTTTTTTTTTCCAACAAAATTTCAGGTTAAAGTTTATATTTTAAGTGCTTTCAGCCGCCTCTTGTTTTAAGTGGTTCGGTTAAGAATATTTAGACCTTTGTTTCTGTTTATAATGCACTTTAATGTACAATTAAAAGGTGAATGAAGAGTATGTAAAACTATTTTTTGCAAAATTTGAATAGTAGCTGAAGGGATATTCCTGTCAGTGAACATTCACCCCCACACACAAACGCTCACTCACAATCACACTTCCATGTCCGTCATTGGGTGGCAGGTTGACTCTTTGGGGTCAGACAGCTTTAGTATGTTATGTGCCCATAGAAAACTGACCTGCTTAGGAATTTGAATGCATGAAAATAGAATTTTTCCACTTCCACAATTCATTGTATGCAGTAAGAAACTCCATGTCATATCTGTGTAATGCTGTTGACATAAGGGAAATTATATACCCCTTAAATACTGACAAATAGCCAGATTATCATGCACATGCAAGCATGCACACAAACACATAGGTTTGGATCCTGTGGTCAGAAAGAGGTTAAAAATAGACAGTGGAATTCTGGAACGGTGGAAGCATACCTCGGCCTTCCCACCTGCTCCCGTCTACTCCTGCCCGGAATGTGAGTGTGTATGTGCGCGTAGCAGCGAGTGTAAGACAATTCCTGTTAGCAGGGCCCAACTCTATTTCAGAATGTCAGCAGCAACAGTAGCAGAGTGGAGTTTTTTCTGTCTCTGTCTTATAGCTTGTTCATTTGACTTTGGGAGAATTCTGGAAACCTAAACAGTGAGTTCATTAAAAATATATATATATATAGCCTATCACACTCTTCATAGAAGTGAGTAGTAGCCTAGTCCAGGCATTTTAGGCAAAAATGGGGGTCAACCTAGAACAAATTGCAACAGAAGCAAACTCAACTGATTTTGCATCCTCAATATGTTTCGAGTAAGGGAAAAAGGCCCACAAGAATCCCCTTTGGGGGGTGGGGGGGGGGGGAGTTTAAAAAAACAAAACAAATATAGCCTAGTCAAATTTTTTTTTTTCAGTGAATAGGGTAAAAATGTTCACCTTTAGATATCACCATGACAATTACTGAGTTGATTACCTACATGAAGACAGACATTCGACATTCAAGCATATAGCCAGGTGAAAACATCTTGTTGACATACAACAGTATAATACTTAATGAATGGAACCCATTTAGGCTACCCGTGAGCATTTATTCACAGAGGCAGGAAACCAGCCTTAATTAATTATTATTGCAGAAGACGAAAAGATAAAATAAAAAGTGGCTGGACCAAACAATCAAATTAATCCATGTAGGAGAAACAAAAGGATAGGCTATCTTTCTTACTTGAGTGACAGTTGAGTGGCCCTTGAATTAATGACTGAAAACCGTTATGGGGATATTGGTTTGCCTCTAGTCTAAGATTCAATAAGACATTTTTCACCTGGCTATAGACTACAATGTTGAAGTTATGTTGTGTTATTTATGCAAATTAGCACATACTTGGATTATTTTAGCCTACATGACTTGTAATAATTTTTTTGCTTGTCCTGATGTAAGTTAACTAATTTTCATGGTGATATCTAAAGGTTAATTTGACCATATTCACGTGAGAAAAAGAATGAATCAGCGAATGAATATGCTATGGTTGGATCTTTTTCGAAACTTTCATTGGGATTCTTCGGGGCTTTGTTTCCTTACCCATGGCATATTAAGGATAAACAAATCAGGTGAGTTTGCTTCTGTTGCAATTTGTTCAACCTATTTTCATAAAATGTCTGGAAGACACTCGAGAAAGCTGGTGTGTTGGATATGTTATGTGAAAGGGAAATGCTTTATCCATGAGTAAACTTTGGCTGCAGAGAGCAAGAGAGAAGGGCGGAGAGCTGAAAAAGTGCTTGTTAAGAACCACGTTTTAAAAAAAGGAGGAAAATAGTGTCTATCTGTGTTTTACATTTAATATCGGTGGATGTCACAGGCAGGCAGTATGTAAACACAACCTCTACGAACGTTTGCACTAGTTTATTAGTTAACTTTTGTACACGTGCTTTTTAAAACATCTTCTGTGATTGTTGAACAGTTATATTTCCTTCAAAAAATGTTAGGCATATCGATGAAGGTTTTATAGTCTACGACCCATATGAATTAGCATGCGCATCCTAATATTAGCGACTGTTTACTTCCCATTTACAGGCTGTAGATGGCAGCATTGTCAAGCGGATAAACCTAACGAATTGTAAGAATCTTACGAAAGTGAAAGTATGCTGTCAAAAGTTATTGTAGGCCTAATATTGTTACAGAAATATAGATATATTTAGATTAAATGCTATTCTTTTGAACTTTCTATTCATTAAAACATCCTACATTTTTTTGTCATGGCTACCCACAAAAATATATTAAGCAGCACAACTGTTCAACAATGATAATAATAAAAGAAAATGTTACTTGAGCACCAGATAGTATTTTAGACTGATTTCTGAAGGATCATGTGAAAATGAAGACTGATGCTGAAACTTCAGCTTTGCTGAATTACATGAAAAAAAAAAAAAAATCAAATTGAAAAGTCATATAAAATTTGTATAGTATTTTACAACACCATTTTTGACTGTTTTTAATCAAATAATACAAATAAATACAGCTTATACAAGACTCATTTTAAAGCATAACAAAAATGTTATCTAATTTAATAATAGAACAGTATCGTAGCACACAAATAGTAAAAAAAAAAAAAAAAAAAAGAACAGAGTTAAAGTTTTCCTATAGGATTCATAATAATTTGTTGATGATATGGTGGTAATATGTAGACATCATCAATTAAGTAGAAAAAAATCAGCTAGGCTAGAAAATAGTAAGATCAGAATAATGAGTTTATTCAGTGATTGTCAAAGTATCCAACTGTCTTCCACAATATCTGCTCAGTTCATCAAATACACTTCTATCATCACAGTACTCTTCCCCAATACAAACATACACTTCATTCATCACCTCCAGTGTATGTGTGAGTGAGTGAGTTATCCTCTTCATATCACCACGACTGGGGGCGTGTGGACATGTTTGCTCAGTTCTCATTAATATCATGTTTGTGGTTGGCATATATTTTTGGGCTTATTTCTTGCCAAATGTAACCGATCCAAATATAAATACATTTGGGAAAATTGATCTGCTGCTGTATAATTTTGAGGTCTTTGTGTGTGTGCTTACATAAATAGTTGGAGAAAGTGGCTTCACACTCCTTTAAAGAGAGGAACTTCAAGAAGAAACACCACTGTGCTGTTTGCAGACAAACCCTCGACAGCCATGGCATGTACTGCAGAGGTGAAACACACATTTGCTTTTCTATCATTTATACATTTACTTCTGTTGTTTTTATACTTTTATTATGTTTATTAAGCCGTTTACTCACGGACACTTGGTTGCTCCACACAATGTGATTTCAGCTTTCAGGTGGGACATTTGGTCCCCACATTGAAGGCAAAACCTGTCACACACACATATAACAATGTACATTAATATTTATTTATATAATCCACATTTTTTTCCTTGCAGAGTGTAAAACTGCAGTGCATACGAAATGCGAGGATAAGGTACGTTTCTTTCTCTCACAGCTGAAATGTTGTTTTTACTGTTCGCTTATAATGTGAAGTACAGATTTGCCTATAAACAATAAGGAAATTTGGGCAGAAAAATAAACCCGCTTCTTGCCAATGACGGTGTGTGTCCTTGTAGCACCAAATGCTCATCTATGATCTTCATGGCTTTTGGTCTTGTGATGTGTGTCACTCACAAATATAGTACAAATAGGTCTAAATCCGATGAGTTATGATCTCTGGTTATCTTTGGTAACAGAAATTGCAATCAGTCACCGGATACCATCAGTGCATCACACGGATATACACTACTAGTGTATCCACACGTTATACACGCCACAGCTGTTCCTCGTTCTCATTATTTCTCCTGCACTCTTTTTTCTTTTTTCTCTGTATAAAAATGTGTGTTCACCGAACCTAAATAAATTAAGGCAACAGTTTCCATGAGCTTAAAACGTCAAGCGTCAAAACAATGCAATCATAATTATCCATGCCTCAATGCATGCTGGAAAAAAAGGAAAGTTATCATGAGCATTGCAATCTTTTAAGCAGATGTCATAACATGTGTCAGTAGACGGGACGATTTTTAAACAAGCGGTTCATTCATAAATTCGTAAGATCTTACCTTCATTCTGTGGAAATACAGACTGGAAGACACAACACAACGAGTGCAGTGCTAAAAAGGGGCAGGTCTATAACAAAGAATGATAAATATTTTGACAAATGTATTGCTCAGTGTTAGGTGATGCATGTTTATGCATCAATTAATGGGACCATATTGAAAAGTGTTACAGGTTCAATTAATGCATCATGAGCTAACAATGAAAAACTACAAAAATCAAGAAAGTCTTTGGATATTTTTAAAGCATCATTTACTTGATCTTAGAATACTTTTTACAGGGTTAGAAAGAGAGAGAGAAAGAGAGGAAGAGTTGGGTGGGAGCAAGAGAGTGAGAGGATCAGAAAGAGAGGAGAGCACTCGTGTGTGTGTGTGTGTGCACGCTATATGAACTCTAGAAAACTGGACTCATCTGAGAAAGGTACTGAAACTTTTACTTTTTGAACAGGGACTTCATATTGTTTATTGCAAAAGTTAAGTATACTTTTAGTGTACTTGTCATTTTGGATCGTATAATAATTTATCTTTGTAGTGATCTGTTTGGCACAGAGAGAAATGCTGTTGAAAAGACAGAATCACCATTTGATTAAAGTGGAAACAAGAGTGTAAGACACTGACACGTGAGAGATACAATCAGATTTTTATTACGGATTATAGATGAACATTTATCTTTGAACTTTTTTAGTGGTTGAGATTGTGTGTGTGAGAGCATGTTATTGAGTCTGTGTCTAGCAATTAGTTGCTACCTGCTAAACAGGATGTATTTAATGAACCCCTGTGTGTTTCCTCGTCCCACACAAAAGATCTGTTTTGTCTGCTGTAATATAATTGTATCATTACACTCTTAAAAACAAAGGTTTTGTATTGTCCTCGATGGTTCCATGAACCTTTCACTGCTTTATTGTGGAAAAGGGTTCATTTTCTAATGGGTTCTTTTAAGAACGATTCACTGAAAGGTTCTTAGGGGAACCAAAAATAGTTCTGGCATCGCTGTAAAAATCTTTATTTTTAAGCGTGTAGCAGTTTCGCTGTGTTTTCCGGCAGGGAAATCCAAAGTCAGTCTACTCTATGGAGCTCAAATAATGAATAAAATGACTTTTCCTCAATGTAAGGGAGCAATGCAGTGAACATTCATGACTTACATGGTGAAAAAATATACTCCTACAAACAGACTCATGATTAGGAGGAGGCACAGGCCAGCTGATCATCTGAAATAGAGTAGTGGAAATAGTTCACAAAGCCATGCAGAAGGCATTTCATCCGTCCTGGATGGAGAGATCAGCTGCTTTTGTTTCTCTTTATATACGTGTCTCCACCCTGTCTGTCAGTCAGTCTATCAGAATATCACACTTTCACCCTCCAATATCCAGAATGGGGGTCAGGTTTCAGTGACGGATTCTCAAACTTTTACATAACGTATTAAATCGTATTGAAACAGCCTATGCAAAGTCATGTGTGTTAAAGTCTGTATAGTCTAAACTAATTACTGGAAAGGAAGCAGAGTAAACGTGTGCAAATATGTGCGCACCCACACACTCGCACACAGTGTTAAACAGTACCAGATGTCCCCTGGTGTGATAATAACCTAATGAGGACAGAGAGGATGTCTTTAAATGGAGAGTCACCCAGTGGCCCCAAAGTATGTGTATGTTTAAAAGACTGTTATTTGTCTCTGTCATGGTCTCTGATGTCTGAACCCATATCATGTGTCAAGGACGATTCTGTGTATCTGGTTTCCATACACATCTCGATTTCTTCCAGGTCACTGTCCCCTGTGAAGTTATCTCAGATCCAGTGAGTATTTACAGATATTTACTTCCATAACGTCTATGGATGAATTGCTATTTTGCCTAACATTTTACAGATATCTTTAAAAAACACATTTTATAGTGCATCTACATTACATTACATTAAATCATTAGCGGAACTGATATTGAAGGATCTGATTGAGACTTCATGAATCTTATATGAACCGATAAACAAAATTTCACATAGATACTCAAAAACTTGAAGCGACATTTTTTTGACTTGTGGAAAGATAAAAAATGTTGATGTATTGTAAACTTTTTATGCATTCACTAGTTCAATTAACCTTTAAAATAGAATTTGTCTGGGGGAAAATGGAAGTTGTTTATCTTAAGTTTGGTTAAAGTTGAAGTCTTCTGTTTGGGGTCAAAGCAATGCATTTTATACACACTGTAGTCCACTCCTGCCGGTTGTTTTCTTTGATTTATTTTCTTGTATTTTCTACAGTGTGTTTTTTGCTGTGATTAAATAGACCCCAAGCAGAAACAATGTAATTGTATAATATAGAGTTGTTTATATTGTTACATTTTTTTTTTTTTTTGGTCGTTTCAGAGGAATGTAATAAAACAATGGGGACGGAAATAAGAAGTTTATTCTAAATTACTACAATTTTTTTTATAAAGACACAACTGAAGTCAAATGCAAAAACAAGTCATTATTAACAGAAAAGAATGGTTCAATGAATTCAGTTTCATAAATTGCAATTTAAAAGCACTATTTGTACCATATCTGCCTGCCTTTTTCTCACTTTAACTCTGATCTCTCCTAGCCTCCATTTCAAAACCAGCTGAACATCCTTCCCAGGTAAGAGTTCATTTTATAAAGCTTTATAAAGGAACAACAAGGAATAGTTCACCAAAAATGAACAGTCTGTCATCACTTACTGGTCTTCAGGTTTGAAAATCAACCTGTTTGGGATGTCATTGGTGTCAAAATATGCAAATGTCTTATTTTCAGGTGTACCGTTCCTTTAAGTTTCCTTGTGTTTGTCTTTTGTGTGTGTGTGTGTTTCACAGAAGAGACAGCATGGAGAGTGTTATGGAGAAGTTAATGGGCAGTCATTATGATTTCGATCTGACCTACATCACTGAGCGTATTATTTCTGTCCTCTACCTGTCTGACCTGCAAGAACAGCATTACAGCGCTAATCTTAAGGAAGTGGCGGCCATGTTGAAATCTAGACATCAAGACAAGTTCTTGGTCAGTTGTATTGCTGTTTAAAATCATTATTGAGTTTTAATTTCATATGAATTAGCACTCTTATGTCTCTTTTATTTCTTCTCAGCTTATAAATCTGTCCGAGAAACGCCATGACATCTGCAGGCTAAATCCAAAGGTATCTTCTTGTTCTTTGTTATTCTATTATCTAGATTTGCATACATTAAAAAGTCACTCTGTAGCTTGCATGTTTTGATGTATGGCTCTGGTTCTGTATTTTTGGGATGACCCCTTTCCCTGCCTCAGGTTGAGGAGTTTGGGTGGCCTGATCTCCATGCCCCGCCCCTCGATAAAATATGTGCTGTTTGCAAGACCATGGAGAACTGGCTTAACTCGGACCCCCACAACGTGGTTGTACTTCACTGCAAGGTTGAGATCAGAAGTTATTTAATGCTTAATATAAGAGCTAAAAGTGTCTAAATGTCATCACAGTCTTATTAAAAGAATAGATCATCCAAAAATGAGATTCTTTCATCACTTACTCCAAGTCTTTTTAATGGAAAAGTTTAGACTAATGTACTCTCTTTTCCAAGCAGTTGCAATGAATTTGAACTGAAGTGACAGAAAAGCACTATAACAGTAAAATAAAAGTAGTCCATACAACTGTATTTCTAGTATAATTCCTAAGATTACCTTCTCCTTTTGTGAACTCGATGACCAGATCCGTCTGATCTGAGATAATTTAAACATCATCAAATTTTCATGTCATAGAAATCATAACCAAAAATTAGTATTAGTTGTTGTTTATATATATTTTCTTCTTTCTCTATCGGTCTTCCTTTCTCTTTAACTTTTTCTTTCTTAGGGAAACAAAGGAAAAACAGGGGTGATTGTGGCAGCTTACATGCACTATAGCAAAATATCAGCTGGGTACTTACACTCTCTCTCACTCACTCACTCACTCACTCACTTGTTTGGTTTCCATGTTTTATGTGGACTTTAATAATGTTTGAATGTTTACTGTAAAAACTGTACATTCTATCTATCCCCCTAAACACAAACCTCACAAAAAGCTACATTTTTACATTTAAAAAAAAAAAAAAAAAAAAAAAACATTTAGTTTGATTTATAAGCTTTTTTTGGGGATGGACATTTGTTATTAACGAAAATTAAAACTTTTATTCAGTAAAGACTCAATAAATTGATTAAAGACTTGTATAATGTTTAAAAATATTTAAATTTAAATGCTGTTATTTTATGCTTTGCCATCACACAACTGAATGACATTTTAAAATATATCAAACAGACAATTATTATTTTAAATTGTAATTTTAGATTGTTTTTATTAAATTATTTTATTATTTTAAATTGTACTATAAATACTAACATTTTAGATCAAATAAATGCAGCCTTGATAAGCATATAAAAACTTTTTTCAAAAACATTTAAAAAATCTTAAAATGCTCTTTGTGAGTTTCTCTACCAATTCATGATTGGTATTCAAATGGCTTGACTCTTACTGGTGTATGTGTGCAGGGCAGATCAGGCTCTCTCGACAGTTGCTATGAGGAAATTTTGTGAGGATAAAATCTCTTCCTCTCTTCTGCCATCTCAGAACAGGTATAACCAATGTTTATTTTGTTTGTTCCAGAATAACTTGTTCTAGTGTGGCCATTATGTTCTCTCTGTCATCGCAGGTATATATATTATTTTGCCGGTCTTCTCTCGGGGGCAATAAAGATGAATAGCTCACCACTTTTCCTGGATCAAATTAATATTCCAGCTTTGCAAAACTACCAGTCTGGAGGAGGTACACAAACCCCTTTTCAATCAAACCAAGGCCTTATTTTGCAATGTCTGAACTGAGTTTGGGGATGGGAAAAACTACAGAATTCTATGTAAACGTTTTCAATGTTAAAATGTGTTAAAGTGATAGTTGAACCACAAATGAAAGCATCATTTACACCTCCTCCATTCCAAACATGTGTGACTTTCTTTCACCTGCAGAATACAAAAGAAGATATTTTGAAGAAAGTTTCAAATGATTTTGCCTATACAATGAATGCCATAGATATCCAAAACAGCACTGGTCCTCATTGACCTTATTGTATAACAAAAAAAAAATTTAAATCT